TTTCTGGTACGCAACGTTTGTTGACATGTGAAATCTTTTCAAACTCAGTATGTGTAGAGGTAGCAGTGTGACAACAGCTTCGACATGTATGTGGGAGGTTGCCCAAGGCTTTTGAGACCCCATGTATCTGGACACGACGGGAATCCGAGAGAACGGTCAATGCAAGGTAGCATCCCGTTCAGGTTTTCCCAAGCACCGGGAAGCGGAATAGCCGTGCTGGAGAATCTTTCCGGGTATGTTACCGTTTTCCCCCATCACGCATGCTTGAGGCTAAACCATTGCACGCTGTACAAGGTGATGACGGCGTTGGCGAGAGATTACGCTTCATGCGTCTATGCATTGGGCGATGTGGCTTCGGTCTATTGCAGGTCAAGCAAGGCTACTAAGCGCGGACATATCTCCAAGGCTGGCGCGAGGGTGTATTCAGATGGAGGGGTAGGAGGAAGTGTCGGGACAAGCAAGGGACATGGCCTGGTAATACGGCAATTTAGCTATGAATAGGAAAGAGAAAGAACATACCCTGTCTGCTTTCCAGATATGGGATGTGGGAGGCGGATGGCATGGGAGGGTATCGCCGGGAAGGAAGGTCATATTGGGAAGCGGGTAAGCGGGGGGAGCTGGTCAAGACCCCTGAGGTACCTCTGCCTCGGGATGAGATGGGATGGGATGGATCAGGGATGGGATGCTGGCCTTGGACACACCTGGCCCAAGTCGGAAAGTCCCCATTCCCAAATCACCTGGGCCGATCAAGATGGGCCGACGCAGATTCCGATTGCCATGCATCGATTTTTTGCATTGAAAGAACGACAGACTAGCAAAGTCAGGCCTGGTCTTGGCGGACGTTGCCTAGAAACGTCGTCCGTGATCCGAAATTGTCACGGCAGATCCCGGCCCCATTCCAGCGCAGGCTGCGGAGCTCTTGCGCTGTCTTGTCAACGGTCCTCAAGATTAGTCTTGCGATCGGTCCGGATGCCGGAGAAGAGACGGGCGACTTTCGCGCGGGAGCCTCGGATATCTCTCCGTGGCACATTTGGCCGTTGCTCCGTCGTTTCCCCACGATGTGGAATTACGGATGGCATCCAATCTTGGCCCAAATGGGTAAGCCGCGGTTCTTGGCTCGACTGAGCAAAAGAAGTGGAAGCTGCGAAGGAATTGCGAACTGCACTTGAAGACTCGGATGGCCGTTGCACAGAGTCGGTCGGTCTCTGCACTACAACCTCTTGGGCCACGCATTAGCAAGATCAAATGCAGGTACGAGATGTCAATGCAGACTGACCTGATGTCTGCAACCCACCCCAAGCCACCCTTCCATCGAGTCTCAACTTCAGTTAGCAGCCTCAACTTGTCAAGTCTTTTTTCTGGTGACATTCGCGTGCGATGTTTGGAAGCATGATGGAAGCGCGAAAGAAGGCGTGGCGTGGTCTCGGTCCCGGATCAGCAGCTGAATCAATGCCGTTGCGTCGATCGTTTGGAACACCTACGGTGGTGGTGTTGTCGATTCGATGTGATGAAAATAGCAACAGAAGGAGGTTATGGTGACGGTTTGGAAATTGGATGGTGAAGTTCCAGGTGAAGACGACGGTGACATTCTGCAGAGTTAGAGGGGCACTTGGAGAGCTGGAGTCGCATTGGGAGGGGCATCATGGGGCGTCATGACTGAAAATTCACCCTGTTGCAACAATGACGCAGTTTCAAGGGGAAGGAGCTGTTCGGCTGCGACTGCGACTGCGACTTTCCTTTCATCCACATCGTGGGGGGGTTTTGTGATTTTGGGAAGCAAACAACCAGCTGGGAACCAAACAGCAACGACGACAAGCGAAGATCTTGGGAGCTCCCTCGGCACCTTCCTTGGTATTCTCCACGACACTGAGAGTGTCACATCAACTGGTCAGAATCGAACGATGTGAAAATTCTTCAGTTCATTCCCTCTTCAGTTCCACATTGGGCACCAAGGACCACAACTCAGCCGTGTTGTGTTGTTTTGTTTTTCTCATTATTCATCGATTATTCACCACTGCAATATCCAAATATCCCCAGCTCAAGGTTTGACACTAACAGCAAAATAGCTTCTACTCACCCATAGGACACCTCTTGGCCTCGAGCTTGTTAGCGACAGAGTCCCAGGAAGCAAACTCCGTCGCCAAGTTGGGAATAGCTCAGGTTGTATCGAGATCCTCTGGACCCTTCTCACCGCCGTCACCATTCTCCCCTTCACCTTGCTTCACCCCATCATCACTACCACCACCACCATCAACTCCCCGCCACTTTCATGAACTTGTGACAACAATGCCAAAGGAACTAATAGTTGTTGAAAACAGGAATATCAGCATCAGCGGCATCGCTCAATTGCGGGATCATCAACGTCCACGGAGATATCCTCTGCCATCAAAACTTACCCCGGTCCGCGCCAGAAGCAGCTTTGTCTCCTTCTAGAAAACTTCCGAAATCCTTGCCTTTGCGCGTAGCATAATGCAGCCTTTAATTGCAAGGTTTGAATGAAACACGTTTCTTTCATGCGCGCATCTTGGCCACACTCCTTCGGTCTACACTGTACACCGTCTACACCTCCATGGCATCTCTCCATGGCATCTCCCCATGGCATCTCCCCCACACTCCAACACCATCGCGACTATCTTGCCAAGTATCGCTCTTTTCCGGCGTGCATACTGCTTGCTGCCTTGCCCTGTTCATTACAGCTCTTCTCAGTTCGGCCTTACTATCCTCAACAGGAAGCTGACAATTGGCTACATAGTAGTTTGCGGCAGCTTCCAGCCTCGGTTCGTTCGTCATCGAAGCAGCATTGATACCCAACAAGCGCAATTTTGGAGTTGCCGACCGTTAACCCATTCAAGCACGTCACCTGGCCATGTGGAAAACGGTCATCGTCATGGCATAATCCAAGTGGTAGCTACGAGATATTACCGTATCCAAACGGGATCTCCTCGCAAGGCCTAGCCCGAGACATCGCGTCAAGTTGCGCGTCTGGCGCGTCTGGAATCCATCCATGACTAGTTCCTCCTTCCGGGATGAGGGTGTGCTTTTTCTCCCCCATAATGCGGCTACATTTCTGGCGGCAGCTTCATCAAACCTTTCCCATTTCCACAGACGCCACATATTGATGGGCGGAACAGGCACAGACCGTACCTACCTTGGACTACTTCATACCCTGTCAAAATCATCTTGTTCAGTTTGAGGGCCCTGCCAGACCGCCTGCGGCAGCTCTCTGGTCTCTTTGGGATTGGGGTCACATCAGACATCTCAAATGATATGGTTCAGACTTCACGCTGGCAGGGTCACTGCATATTTTCCTCACTTCACAGCCTTTCCTTTGCCCCTACTCGGCAATCCAACATTTGTACCTACCTTAACCATATGTGGATGCTACCCCTTCTCCATGGCATCTTTACCCCCGGTGCCCTATCGTATTTCAGGGCACCGATCTGTTTTGTGCATCTGATATAGCTCCCCCCGTCTTAATATCTTTCCCCTTTCAGAGACCATGGAATTTCCCACTCCTCAATGCCCTCTCCGCTTGCCACCCGCGGCACTCCACCACACCCAGAACTGGTCACCCCCCAGCAGTAGCCAAGGCATGCTGTCGCTATCATGTTCCTGCTTTGGTACTTCCGAGTGACTTCTTCTGGCTCTCCTGGAAAGGCTAGGTACCTTGACCGCACACTGTTCACTGCGGGCACTTACACCCACTCTTCACCCTGAGTCCAGAGGTGGTGGACTCGGCCAAATTGCCACCCCTCCCGCTCGCCATCGTCTGTCTGCCTGCCTCTGCCTTGCAAGTGTAAGACTCTCGTTACCGGCTTTCCTTGTGAGTCGGGTGCCGCTGCTGCCCTTGGTTATCTGTAGAGAAGGACGCTGCTACCAGCACCCCCTAATTCGCTCCTGACCATTCTGCTTCCCAGCCGCATGGCAGGGCTTGTTTCATCCCGTACATTATCGAGCTTGATGTCTTGTCTCTTTCTATGCGTTTTCGAAGCTTCGTTTTCTTTGGATCGTCAAGTTCACTGCAACATCTGAATCGAGTTAGAGCGCCCGGGGTTTCTTGGACTGTCTGCCGGATATAGAACAGAACCCCGGCCTCAGGTAGTGGTGCACCGAGCGGGCATGGCAGTTCGTAGCTCAGATTGCTGGACAGGGTTGCCGGCAGAACTAATTATCGAGGTCCATGGCATAAGCCTCAAATTATGCCACCGTCATCGGTCGTTGAACCCGACTTGAGCTCCACATCCCAAGCTACAATCACGTCTCGTACTTATCGTTGCTTGTATACTTATTCCTTGGATTAAGAGGCGGGCCAAATCCATATATCCACTCCGTCCCCGTCCCTCCAAGCCAGCTAGCCCTTGCTTCTCTGCTCAGTACCAAACACCACAAGATATATCACGGTCATTACCCGCTGTTATTTCCTTCCTCTACTTTAATCCTACTTTGGCTTTATCGTCAAGTCCGCCAACGAAGAAGGGAACGTTCGTTTTGGAAGTCAGGCTGAACTGGGAGGGTCGACAAACTACACACCGAGTACCAGTATCCACAGAAAACGGTCATACAAGTTTCAGCACGCAATGAGCTTACGAGGGAGGGATTGTTAAGAGTGCCGTCATCGTCCAGCCAGCCTATCCGGGAACCAACCTACCGTCTCGAACCATAAAGGAGAAGATATACCCCCACATCACCATCGTCGCCTTTCTGCCGCCACCGACTCGTTTGCGAAGACTTCGCTTGGATACATGTGCTCTGGGTTCATACCGACATCTGTCTCTGATCAACTGAGCTCAAACACACCTCAAAAGATCAACTTGCAGCATCTGAGGCCCTCCTCAGATCAGGTTATACGCCACACTCGTTCCCAAAATAGCCCTACGGGGCTCAATCTCACCAAATTCTCTCAATTCAGAACCCGGCGACCAGCCAGAGCGGTTCGCTCTGGCGGACCTCATGCATAGCAGTCACGCTGGCGGGCAATTACCGAGTAGGTCCGGACTACAATGTCGATTATTCGTCACAGGAGCCGCATACGGCCGAGCAGAGCCAGGCTCCGCACTCCTATGAAGCGCACCACCACCGAGCCTCTCTCCAACATGCCGGCCTGCCGAGCTTGCACGAACCGCCCACTCACCAAACCCATCATGGCCTGTCACAACATTATGCCCAAGCCCATCATCCTCATCCGATCCTCACAGATCCGGGCCACATGGGCGAACATCCCGGCGCACGACACATGGGTCATTCCGGACCGCCTCACTTTGGTGGACCAGGTCCTTCGCCACACTCTGTAGTTGCGCCGCTTTACCCGTCTTTGACGCACAACCATGGGCATGGCGGTGGGTTGAAACGACAACGGCCCGAAGATCTCGACCTCACAATCCCCGGCATCTCGGACCTTGAGCAAAATGACCTGGACTCCATGCAACAGATGTCGTTGGGAGCAGCCTACGCACAAGCAGCAGCGGCTCCGCCTCAGCATCATCACCACCGCCTACCAGACACCGGCCCCCCGAACAAGCTTTTGAGGCGGGAAGGGGAAGGTAGCGGCGGTGGTGGAGCTCCCAGTGTCGTTGGACAAGCAGGAATGCCGCCTCCAGCCCCGAGACCAAGAGGTCCCAAGCTCAAGTTTACGCCAGAGGACGACCAGCTGTTGATTGACCTGAAGGAAAACAAGAGCTTGACCTGGAAGCAAATTGCCGACTTTTTCCCTGGAAGATCTTCCGGAACTCTTCAGGTGCGATACTGTACAAAGTTGAAGGCGAAAACAACACAGTGGACGGATGAAACGGTAAGTCTGATCAAACCATATCTCTTTCCGTCAGATCAATGACTGGGTCATTCACGGAACTCGCTTTCTGACGATTTCTTACATGTAGGACCAAAAGCTCAAGACGGCGCTGCAAGACTACGAAAACGAGAAGTGGAGGATTGTTGCCAACAAAGTTGGGACAGGATTCACTCCAGTCGCATGTCGTGAAAGAGCGGCGCAGTTGATGGGAGAGAACTTATAGCAATCAATGTCCCCACCGGGAGTTTCGGCTTCTGTGTCTGGGGACACCGTCTATTCCTCACAACTTCAGTGAGCAGCACACCACAGTGCACGAGATCTACCACGTCAATACCTTATGCGCAACGTCAAAGATTGGGCCAATATCCGACGACAATCGACTTGACGGAGTGAAATTTGGGTCAAATCCGGTCGAGTCGAATCAAACGAATATACCAACCGCGAAAAGCTCTCCGTTGGTTGAGAGCGAACGACCAAATTGGTAGCCTGTTTCGCGGCTACCAATATTCAGAGACACTCATGGATAAGGGGGTGAACAAGAGTTTTCTGACATTCTTACTCCCTACACCTATTTAATTCCCCTTATTACCCCACTCTTTTTTCAATGTCTTCCCTTAATTTCTTTTCTTCGTTTTCTTGTTGGCTTGAATCACCAGTTTGCATCACCATTTGGGGAGGAATCATCCTTTGCGAAGGCGGCATTATACACCGAGATACCCCATACACAACAAGTATTATTTTTGCCATTGTGGTTTAGTAGCTTTTCCTTATTTCCTATTGTGGTGTGCTGGGTCTTGCGCTTGTGTTTTTTCATAGAAGGCGGCTTGGTGGGATCGGGATTTGGAAAAGGATGACCATTATACAACGATACCCAGCCGCTTCGCTACCATGCAGGCTTTCACGACCGAAGTTGATGATGACGACATACACAAAATTCATATTGGTCCCCGACGTGCGGTCGTGGTGGAACAGGGCTTGGTGGATGGTTTCTACCTCTGTTGGTTCAATCAAAGCCTACAACTCTGGCATGGATTTGGAGCCCAAGGAGAATCGGTGATCGATTCAGTCAAAGATTCAAAAAGAGACTATGGGAAAATTCCTTCGATGCCAGAGCGGGGGCAGGATCTGGGAGACAAGGCTTGACGAACAGCAGAGATGAACACCTGGGCGGGTCGATAGTTGCTTGGGCGGGACATGTCAGGAACAGAACCGGCAAACACTAGTCCGCTCGTCCCTTGGAGTTGGTTGGGTACTTCATTTCACGCAGGGAATTTGGTTGGGTTGGCGAAGGCTTTCTTTGGAGAGGGCGTGCACACCAACCACCATTACACGCACACATCGTCGAACTTCAACCTATCTTTCCTTTATCTGTCACATCTCGCGATGCCCAGCACAATGCAACACTCACTACGATATTTTTTTTCATTTTTCCTATGTCTTTGTTTTGCAGAACACCTGCTATTTCCCTGTTCACAATTCGTGTGTATACCTTAGTTTTTTTGGTCTCAGACCGTTGTGTTTAATGTTTAACTGGGCCGGCCCTTTCGGTTTTGTCCTTCACCTTAGCGAGCTCACTGCACTCTACGGTGTGATTGGGATCGGACACTACCTGAGGCATGCTGCGTCTGACCGCAGATGCTCTAACTGTAACACAATGATGCATCATACTGCGGGCCGTTGAGCGTGAAGGTGAGAATGAGGAGGACGCCAAGTGGACGCTATTCTCACGGTGCGTAACTGACCGTCCGCTGGGAAGATGGGATCCCAATCAACAATTGGCATTGTGCGGTCATTGTGCGGTTGATGTCTTGGCTGCCGAACCAGTCACTTTGCCACCTTCCTATTCCGCGACGAGGCGTCTTTGAGAGGCGTTGGATAAATGACTAGACCGCAATCTTGAACCACAAGATTTGTGTTCATCTTAGCCGGTTCTCTTGTCAGCCTGTCAGGTCTCTGGGTAGTGAGGTCCCCTACCCAGCAAAACAGGAACGCAATTGTGAAAAATGGTCTGATATTTATTTCATTCTTGGATCAAAGCACAGGCACCGTTACATTGCCCGTCGACGGGTGGCCTAGTGTAGGTACCTTACTCTCTGAATGGCTGTCATGTGCCGTTGACGCCATTGTTGCAACTCTAGGAGCACGGAGATTGACGATGCCCTGTCCCCAGAAGCCAAGCCCCGTGCCCCATGTCTACGGTGGCCCAAGTGTTGGCTATGCTCAATTGAAAGTTGGTCCGAGCTCTCAGCTGCACCCAGCTGCCAGCCTTTTTATATCAACGCCTCTATATCACTTGCATACTTAAATTGGAAGACTCACTCACCCCCATCCAAAGGCATCGCATTATCCATCACATTCACAACTCCCATCAACTCTCATTAATTCTTATACCTCTCATCAACTCTTATACCTCTCATCAACTCTCATTTATTCCTATTGCCCGGAGAGAGTAAGAGGGATAGGGAAATCCATTTGCATTGATACTCTACCCCAAAGTCCAAAATTTGGAGAAGAAGCGAAGGATCTATTTGCACTACTACCTTAAAAAAGTCTTGGCAAACCTCGAGGCTCTCATTCACTCTCTAACCAAAATTTGGAGAAGAACCGGGGGATCTATTTGTACTGCTACCCTAAATTTTGGCAAACCTCGAGGCTCCCAAATCTCATTAACTTTCAGAGTCTTAGTTCATTATACCCCTTCGATTTCAATTGACTTCCGTTGCCTCTAGTTGCTTCATTACTTCATTACTTCATTGCTTCATTGCTTTATTACTTCATTGCTTCATTGCTTCATTGCTTTATTGCTTTATTGCTTCATTGCTTCATTGCTTCAAGGTACAACGCTAGCATCGATTCAGGAACTTGAAAGGGTCCGCCAGTCTGTCGGTCAGTCAGTCGGCTCGATTGGCTGTTATTTCGCTCGGTTGTTCGGTTCGGTTCGGTAGGGTCGTCTAAAACGGTCGCGGATCCGCGTGCTCAAAGGGGTTTATACCAACGTGCTGGGTTCGCGTCAAGGCAGGCACGCTCATGACAGAAAAGCTGGCACTTTTTTCGGGCACTACATGGGCGATCCGCGTAACTGAAGGTACCAGCTTTTTTGTCATTGGCGTGGCAGGAAAGATGTGAGTTGATGATGATCCTTTCTCAGCGAAGACGAAACGTGCCGTTGCTTGAACTCTGCAGAATCGCTAAACCATTGCTCAAGATAACAGCTTTGAGACATATAGCAGATATTTTTGTCAACAAAGGTAAAAAGGATCCGTCTCACAAGTTGTTTTTCTCCATACCTCGTTCCAGCTCATCTCGTTCGGTTCTCTCCAGCCGCCAGGCGAAACTAGCAACTAGGGCGAACACGAGAAGCGAGCGGTCCCAGTCCATTGCCATTGTCGGTTTTCTCATTCGCCTCTACTGAATCTGTGGTCAAAAAACGCCTATCTTACGCTTCTCTAGAAAGCTTGCGCTATGACTTCAGTCTCTTCAACGGCTCACCGATCGGCACGCTGGGGACCGGAGTCAACGATAATTTTTCCTGATTTAGTCTCACCGAGTATTTGAGTTACGAGTGGAGATCCTTCGTAAGCTGCCATTACATCGATATCAGAACCAGAGGAGCACCTCACTGCCAAGACATTACCGCTTCCTCATACTGTTGCCATATCGATGGAACCCTTCCTCTTGCGGACGTTTCGGTACTTGCCTGTTAATCAAATCGTCCAATTCCCTTTTTTGATTCTCTCATCCCCCTCCTCCTCTTTCTACTTGACGTATACTTCCTGAGATACCTTGCATGATCCCCCACTCCGGACACTGTACTTCAGGCACAACACTGGGATTTTTCTTGAGACGTTGCCTGCTCTGCCATGCCCCGGCCCATCCTGTCGGCAGGCGCTTGAAACAGCCCTTTATCAGTCATTGCTTTTTCCCTCCTCATGTCTTCCCCTACTCCGCATTATCTCATTCGTTCAAAACATATCTGCCTACCGTTGGGGCGTTGGGGCTTCGGAATCACGGCGAGCGAGGTTTCAGATCGAGACAAACCGCCCGCCATACCACGCTACGATAGACTGCACTAAACTAGCGCTGTAATCGCTTTCCCCTGGCGTTGCGTCTACATAGTAGACGATCCAGACGAGTCTCTTGCGCCGAGCTGCAATGCAGAGTGAGGAAATTCCTCAACGGTCGTTCGGTCTAGCGGCTAGCCGAACGTGCTCAAACTGCAATTCAGTGATCTCTCTCTTTTCTTTTGCTCGGAAGTTAACGTTAGCGTCATCTTGAAAGACAAAGTCCCCGCCGAATAACAAGGTAACTTGAACTCGGACTTGCTCCACTTTTGATGTCGGTCGTTCACAGTTCATCACTCAGATCACTCTGTCCATGTTCAGCACCTTGCCTTGTCCATGATCAAGGACAGATGGGCCTGTGTACCAAGAATTACTTAGGTGTAGTAGGTACATCAAAGGGAACATCATCGGTACTCAAGTACCAGAGGAGGTACCTACGTACGTACATTGCTGATTAATGAGACCCTAACATCCAACCCGTCTCATCATGTAGGAACTAGAGACCAGGGAGTCAATGTTGGACAGAGAGGCAAAGGCGGAGACATGGAGAGACCAACCATCAACAGTCTTAATGATGACGGAAGCTACCGAGTACCGACTTGCATGCGACAAGTGCAAAGAGCAATATGTTCAAGACTTCCCGTCTTTCATGCCCTACATAGACTAACTTGCTGTTTCTCAAACCAACGGCACTTTCTGAAACACGTCCAGTATCCAATAGCTTCGATTCCTTCCTTCCCTCGCTACCCAAGCAGGGCTACCACTGAGAAGAAGCCCTTCGTCTCCGGTCTGGTCTCCATGTTGGCGCGGGGAAATCGTGACTCTCTTTCTTCCATGGTGACGTATCTCCCGCCATCCATGGCTTTTGGCGCAAGACTGCAGTGGTCAAGTTAATGAACTGAAGGTGTGAGGTCGCCCTTCCCTGTCTCTTGCTCAGGCCGGTTTCCCTGCTATGGTAACTCTCATCCAACAGACATCTACCTACTTACTCAACACTTCTCCAGATATGTCACTTAGTGACTGAAGTGAACAAGCAACCAGCATAGGTATTTTGACTCTCCAAAGTGAATGAACAAGGGCCAGGATCTTGCGGGGAGATAGACGGTGAAACGGTACGTATAGCACCATGCCTGCCCTGCCTGCCCTGTGGTGTAGTACTCGT